AACACTGATTGCCCAACCCCCAGACTTTCTCGTTCAGAAGGTCAGGGATAGGGCCTAGGAACTGCATTTTTAAAGTTCTCAAGCAATACTTCTGATCCTGACACCAACTTTAAGAACAACAGGCCTAGATCTTTTCATGAGCTAGAAATGATTAGCATTCAAAACATGATCTTAACTGTCAACAGAGAAAACAGTGGTCAGGAAGCAGGAGACTTCATTTCCCTCTGATATGCCTTTACACTTCTTCATTTTAGTAACCAATTTCACCTCCTTCTTTCTAGCCTTAGAAGGATATCCCCTCGCGAGTTGAAGATAATGTTTCTACTTATTTTCTCTATCCTATGCTATATGCTATTCCAATCTCTGCTCCATCAAACCAGCACTTGCCATGCCTATAATTTCAAACTCTCCTTTACTACTGGAAAAGTACGTGTATTTTTATTTAATAGATGCTGCTGGACTGACTTCCAGAAAGACTGTTACATCCTGGCAGAAGAATAGTTTATTCCCAGAAGTGGTTAAAACAAAGAGAAATTCTGGATCAGGAATCTTAGTCCAGCTAAGAATGGAAGTACCATACTGAGAAGAGGTTGGACTAGGCATAATCAAACACTGAAACTCCCAACACCTCCTTTCCCCTGTTCCTTTCTGAACATTAACAGACAGGTTTCCATTCCTCAAACAGGAGCCTGAAAGACTCCTCCCCAGGAAAACTGAACAATAAAAGAAAGAGCTTTCAGACACTCAAAGTTGGAAATCCCTTAATGAAATGCTGGGTCCTTACTCCATCACCTTAGAATGAGGCCCACCTAGGGTGACCAACCCCTCTGTTTTGCCTGAGACTGTCATGGTTTTAGTACTGAAAGTCTTATGTCCTAGAAAACCTCTTGGTCCTCGGCAAGCTAGGATGTCAAATTACCCTAGACACACCTCTGGATAAGCCCCAGCTCTGAGTACAAAGCTTCCATTTTGTTTTTTGTCTTCCTCTTAAACATGAATGGATAGTCAAGGACTGCCAGGCATTTGAGGAAAACTAAAGACTAATGCAAACAAACAAAAAAAAGGAACACAGTGAAAATTCTTAAAATGCAAAAAAAAAAAAAAAAAAAAAGAAAAGAAAATGATATTGCATCCATTAAACATGAGACTACAAAAAAGAAAAGAAAAACAAAGAGCTATTAGAATGAAATGAGTTTCTGGCTTAAAAGGGCCCACCAAAACCCAAGTACATTGTATGAAAAAACACTCATACCAATGTGCTTCACTGATAAATTTCAGAATCTCAGAACAAAGAAAAGGTCTCCAAAATGTGGGTAGAGAAGCTTCACATACAAAAGGCAAAAATCAGAAAATGATATCAATACTTCTCATAAGCAACTCTGAGTGTTGGAAAACAATGATTAATGCCCTCTATTTAACGCCCTCCATTTTCCTCCTATAGAAAAATTATTTCCAACCTAGAGTCTAAGACACTTTCCAGCATGCCGTGTTACTTCTCTTGTACCTCTTCTAAGGAAGCTACTAGAAGATGCACGCTCTACCAAAAACAAGAGAATAAACTAAGAAAGATAAAAATGTGGGATTTGAGAAACGGGAGATCCAAGCCGGGAGAAAGTGACAGAAGTCCCCAGGATGGCAACTGTACAGCAGGCCTGGGGAGCAATCAGTCCAGACAGGAGCCAAAGGACAGAGCATTCCGAAAACTGACTGATGACTCAAATGCATTGAAAGGAGTTTTTTTTCACTTCTAGAGAATAGTTCTAGGATAAATGAGTGATTGAAGCACAAAAAACTAAGCAAAAAAAAACCAGAACATCATTAACCCAGGGAAAACAAACAAAAATATATAAGAAAGGAAAAGCATGCATAATTCCCTATAGGCTTAGCTATGTATAATATGATACAATACAATATACATAATATAATACATAGTCATAATAATAAAAACACTGAATATTGACCTAACAAAAAACTGCAATATTCCCATACTAGGAAGATAGAGAAGGAGGGGTATATGACTGTGTATGGAGAAGGGAAAATATAAGAAAGCTAACCTTTTTCTTTCATGGAAGAAGATAACAGATAATATCTAATATTAAAAAACTCAGGGAAATTGCTTGAACCCAGGAGGCGGAGGTTGCAGTGAGCTGAGATCACACCACTGCACTCCAACCTAAACGACAGAGAGAGACTCCATCTCAAAACAAAACAAAAAACAACTCAAGAAGAAGAAATACAAGTATTTCATTTAGAAATGAGTAAAGGCCAGGCACGATGGCTCACGCCTATAATCCCAGCACTTTGGGAGGCTGGCGTAGACAGATCACTTGAGATCAGGAGTTCGAGACATGGCTGGCCAACATGGTAAAGCCCTGTCTCTACTAAAACTACAAAAATTAGCCAGGCATGGTGGCAGGCACCTGTAATCCCAGCTACTCATGAGGCTGATACAGGAGAATCACTTGAACCCAGGAGGTAGAGGGTTGCAGTGAGCTGAGATCGTACCACTGTACTCCAGTCTGGGCAAAAGAGTGAGACTCTGTCTCAAAAAATAAATAAATAAATAAAACATAAAACATAAAACATAAAGGAATGTGGAGTAAATATCACAGGAATATACCAGTGTTAAAAGTGGTTGCCTCTGAGAACATCTGTTGGAACTAGAAAAGCTGATTTTTTTGGTTATTATTTATTTTTTAAATATAGTGATATTTATGTTATATATTCATGGGGTACATGTGATATTTTATTACCTGTATAGAACATGTAACAATCATGTCTGGGTGTTTTAGTACATTCACTTTGAGTATTTATCATTTCTATGTGTTGAGAAAAATCCAAGGCCTCTCTTCTAGCTACTTTATACCAATACAAGACACTACTGTTAACTAGTCAGTCTACTCTGCTGACTATGCCAATCCTGTTGGTATAAATAAGTTCCAACAATAGAACTTATACCTTTCATCTAACTTGTATGTTTGTACCTGTTTACCTACCTCTTCATCCCTCCTCCCAGCCCTGCACCCTTCCCAGTCTCTAGTATCTATCATTCTACTCTCTGTCTTTATGAGATCAAGTTTAGGAAAGTTGACTTTAAAGATCATTTAAGCTTTTTTTTTTCCTCCTAATGAAGCCAAAAAATATATTCTGCAGCCAAAAGAAAAGAAGCTAAAGAATATTCTGGAAAAGAATAAAAATGAACAAGTTCCAAAACATATGTAAAAGTATCATAAAACTGCAGCTACTAAAAAACATGAAGAACACATGAAGAGGCAAAAAACATGGAAAGAGACTCCCAGCCACAAGATAACCTACTTTACGACACAGCATTGTAAGCCAGTAGGAGAAAGGCAGATTATATAATAAATGGTTGTGGACCATGCAATAAGCCATCAAAGGAGAGGGAGAAGAAAACTAGATCCCTTCCTCAGTCCCTGCCCTTAAAATCTAGATGCATCAATTTCAAGATCACAAATGAAACTGTAAAAACACTAGAAGATATGGCAGAATTGTTTTATAATCTTGGAGTAGGAAAGCCAACTTTCCTTCTTAGAGAGGAAAGTTCCTCTCTAAGAAACTCATAAAACCCTGAAGTCTTAAAGGAAGAGACTTAGCATTTTGGCCACATAACAATGATACTTTATATACAACCAAATAAACATTGTAAATGATGTCAAAAGACAAACCAGGAAAGATTCTTGTCACGTATGACAGATATAACACAATTTTACAGTTGTGTAAGAATCAACTGAAAATCAATAAGGAAAACATTGAAAACACAATTGAAAAATGGGCAAGGGTTTCAAACTGACAATTCACAGAATAAGAATAAACATGTATGTTCAAACTCACAATTTAAAATGCATTTTGAATACCTGCCATTGCTCAAGCATCTGTCCCTAACATTCTATTGACAGTGATCTAGCAAAAGTTACTCAGCTGCCGAACATCAGAATAAATATTCTAATTTTTTTTTTTTTTTTTTTTTTTTTTGAGACGGAGTCTCGCTCTGTCACCCGAGCTGGAGTGCAGTGGCCGGATCTCAGCTCACTGCAAGCTCCGCCTCCCGGGTTTACGCCATTCTCCTGCCTCAGCCTCCCGAGTAGCTGGGACTACAGGCGCCCGCCACCTCGCCCGGCTAGTTTTTTTTTTGTATTTTTTTAGTAGAGACGGGGTTTCACCGTGTTAGCCAGGATGGTCTCGATCTCCTGACCTCGTGATCCGCCCGTCTCGGCCTCCCAAAGTGCTGGGATTACAGGCTTGAGCCACCGCGCCCGGCCAAATATTCTAATTTTTAATTTTTACTTTTAAAAAATTTTTATTTTTTTAAATGTTTTTTTGAGATGGAGTCTCGCTCTGTTGCCCAGGCTGGAGTATGGTGGCGTGATCTCGGCTCACTGCAACCTCTGCCTCCCAGGTTCAATCAATTCTCCTGCCGCAGCCTCCCAAGTAGCTGGGACTACAGGCATGTGTCACCAGGCCCAGCTAATTTTTTGTTTTTTAGTAGAGACAGGGTTTCACCACATTAGCCAGGATGGTCTCTCCTGACCTCGTCATCTGCCCATCTTGGCCTCCCAAAGTGCTGGGATTACAGGCGTGAGCCACCGCACCCAGCCAAATATTCTATAATAAACATATAATCATGTTGAAATGAGGCAGAAAAAGTTTAGAAAACTGGCAAAAATATTGATGAAGTTTTAAATGTTAAGAAATGCTTTAAAAACCACATTGCAAAACTGCATATCTTGTATATACTTCCAACTGTGACACAAACACACACACAAATACACACACACATAACAGACAACATAATGTAAATACATAGAAGAAAAACACAAAGTCCAGCCATCAAAATATTAAGGGTGGTTGTTAACAATGGGCCGAGCGATTTTAATTCCTTCTCCAAGGTTTTCTATATTTACCAAATTCTCTATACTTTAAAATCAGACATAGTTATGAGTATCTACAAAATGTCTCCTCATCCAGACTTTTATACTCACCAGGAATAATGAAAATAAGCAGCTTAGGCCTTTTGACACTTTGATCATTAAAGAGGTCAGTCCAGGGCCCACATTTTAGAACCTGGGTTTCGACTCCACCACACAAAATGAATTCCTCATGCACAGGAATTTCTTCCTTGAGTTCTGAGTCCATTTCTAAATAAGGGGAGAAAAGTAGTATGAAGAGTCAGTAAAATGTAAAACCTTGAGCCAAGGACAAAATTCAAGAATAAAAAAGGGCAAATTTCAATATACCTAGAAGGAAATGCCACAAGGACATCTGGGAAACTTTAAGACCATTCAGTGATGCTGGATTATAAGATTGCAAGACAAGCAAAACAAACCACAAGAGTATTTAGAAAGGAGGAGACATATCCTTGGCAAAATAAAAGACTATAGAGGCGTTTGAGTTAAAACCGTAACTTCCACTTTCCCTCTGCTGGAATTCTCTTTTAGCTCTGTGCATTACCATGAGACATGTTCCCCTACTTTCACCCGGTGAGAAAGTGCAGAGGTTCTGGCTTGCCCTTGCATTCTCCCCATAGAAGAGTAAGAGGGACAATGAACTCCCTATAGTCTCTTATTTCCTCGTATTACTCTTCTCTTGTCCCAAATTCTGTGTGTGTGTGGATATGTGTGTATGTATGTATATATATGTATATATACATATCCGTGTGTGTGTGTGTGTGTGTATATGTGTGTGTGTGTATATATATATATATATATTTTTTTTTTTTTTTTTTTTTTTTGAGACGGAGTCTCCCTCTGTCACCCAGGCTGGAGTTCAGTGGCATGATCTTGGCTCACTGCAAACTCTGCCTCCCAGGTTCAAGTAATTCTTCTGTCTTAGCCTCCTGGGTAGCTGGGACTACAGGCATGTACCACCATGCCTGGCTAATTTTTGTATTTTCAATAGAGATGGGGTTTTGCCACGTTGGCCAGGTCAGTCTCGAATTCCTGATCTCAGGTAATCCACCGGCCTCGGCCTCCCAAAGTGCTGGGATTACAGGCATAAGCCATCACATCTGGCCCCAATAAGCATATTTTATGTATTAAAGCACTACATTAAATTATGAAATGGATAGGTGGAAAAAAAAAACCCAGGATATACTATCACAAACCATTTCCTGAGTAATCTGTTATGTGCAAAAATGTAGGCCCCAATTATTTCTATCACTCCTCCACCGCTGCCTCTGCCTTCCTTCTCTATTGACAGCACCAAATCTCAAACCTTCATTGGTCTTTGTCTTTCTCTTCCCCTCTCCTCCACTCACTCAAAGCACTCCAGAGTTAAGATTCAAAGGGCCCTTCTAGCTTATTCTCCTCTTACCACTTTACATCAGCCTTGTACTTTAGTCTTCTTGTCCTTGAATTTCCCTAGTGATCCTATGCTTTTCTGCTTCTACAACTTTGCTCATATTTAATTCTCCAACCATATTTAATTCTATAACTGCACTTTGTACAGTTGTCAGTTTATTGCCTCTCTACTCCAAATTCATCCTTCATTGTCTTATCTGGAAAAGTGGATCTGGGACTTTAAAATATTTTTCCTTTGCCAGTTGACATGATGCTAAGCTCTGTCAATAGAGTGCACTGGAGAGGCTTTGCAGAAGGAGGTTTTCTCAGCAGGTTTCTGGAGAGCTTATATTTTACCCCTCGACTGTTCCACCGCTGTGAGATTTCTCTATTGCAGTGGTTCACAACTAGAGATAATTTGCCCTCAGAGGACATATGGCAATATTTGGAGCTATTTTCCATTGTCACAACTCGGGGAACTACTGGAATACAGTGAATAGAGGCCAAGGATACTGCTAAATATCCTACAATACACAGGACAGCTCCCCACAACAAATAATTATCCAGCCCTGAAGGTCAATAATGCCAAGGCTGAAAAACAACACTGCTCTAGTACTAGGTGCCTACAGGGGAAAGCTTTCTCCAGCGTCTGGCTAGCTGCTGTGTGCTTTCTTTCTCCAGCTCTCTACTCAGGCAGCAGCAGCACCATATCCAGGAGCCCCAGACCAGGTGGCTACTCCCCATCCCCTCTCCTCAGCCCACATGCACCAGCTTGGCCAGTCAGCCACCTGACCTTTGTTCCACACAGCAGCTTGGTATATTGCCCTGCCCCAAGCTGTACACAGCAGTGCTCTAGATTGCTACACAGGAAGGCCTCTCCAATTTGTAATTCCAGTGGTATCTAAAGTGGTGCTCCAACTCCTTCTACTCACTAGCCAACCTCAACTCACTTGCACCCCAAGGGTTGTTACTGTGGCCCTGCTGCACTGCCCTGATTCCCTCTGCGTGCTGTCCTATCAGTCTTAACTCACCCGCTGACACTGTGTGCACCAGCTTTGGCTCAGACAACCCAGCAAACTTCTCTACCATCCAATGGGCTATAGCCACACTTTCAATGAGGTCTGAATCTCATTTCAATTCCATCCTTCACTGGGTACTTTTCCTCAGCCCTAGGGTACCTTTTGGAGTTCTCTTTATAGAGTGACTTCATAGTTTTTCTCCTATCATACCCTAATAATTCTTTAAGTTAAACTAACAATTTTAGTTACTATGTGGCTTCTGTCTTCTGGTTTGATCCAGACTGATACACCTCTCATGTGTCTGTGCAAATTTTTCTTTATAAATCCCTCATTATACACAGCTCAAATTCTACTTGTTACATGAATCCTTCCTTGAGCACCCCAGGTAAATAAGGGAAATCACCTCTTCCTCTAAACTCACAGCATCTGTCTTTATTATAAGGTGGCAGTGGTAAAGGCACACAGCTAAGCTCCACTTGGTAAAATTTGTCATCTCATGTCATGCCACACTTTCCCACAGCACCACAGACAAGCAATTGATGCAAGGGCTATGTGTCCCTTCCCAGATTGAACATCCTAAGGCAAATGCAATGCTGGCTAGGAAGTAGTGAAATGGGAAATTCCACACATTGATGGTAATAATAAAAATGGCTTTGCAAAGCAATCTGGCAGCATGGATCAATACTCATAAAAGGTATAAACTTTGATTCAGTCATTCCATTCTGAAAAAAACCCAAAATATTTTAAGACTGATACATGGAATGCTAATTGTAACAGTGAAAAGCTGAAAATAAATGGTAATTGATAGATGAATGGTTAATTATGATAACCCATTATTAGACACTAAAAAAATTATATATATGACTCAATATTAAGGAATAATTAAATTGTAACTCAATATAATGATCAAATATTAAGTGTCATCAAAACTGCTCTAAGTTGGTTATAATTTATGCATTTCTTTTCTAACATTTCTAAAATTTCACTTCTCTAGCCTGATGTTATATTGCCTCTTCCATTCTCTTTATTCCTTTATTGTTTATTCTGTCAATTTAGTGAATTTAGGAAGAAATAAACATATTTTTTCTAACTTCTATGTTTAACCAAAAGTCCAAAACTGATTCTCTTAAGAATACTTAGAAAAATGAAAAATCCTCACTTAGAAAGTGGAGACCACTGTCCATTAAAAATATATGGACTAAATAAAGTATCACTTCATCTTTTCTTATGGACTGATCTTTTACTTCACTAATAAATGCCACTGTAGCCCAATCTCCAAAACTATCACAAACTACAGTATATTTATATAAGTTCTGACCTTTATAATGTGTTAGAAACAATATTAGATTTAGCAGTAAACACTGTATTAAATTAGAGCACTGACTGAGAAGACACTGGCCAAACTGAATACTTTCACCAGAAGAGAATTTAAAGTTATTAACTATAAAGTTGTTAAATATATTCAAATCATAAATATCAATACTTAACTTCAAGTAAATGACATCTTGGGAGACTGATTAGCCACAAAATCAATGAGAATTCAAGTAGATATGAAAATCAAGCTCAGTCTATAAACATTGGAAAACAAAAAAGTACAACTCTAACACCTCAAATAAAATACAGCTGAGAAACATCGAATTAAAATGCTGGCTAGCTGCTGTGTAGCTTCCCCTGCAGGCACCTAATTCCATGTATTTATAAAGCATCTTTTATTTTACTTCACTCTCATATTTCTGAATCTCACACACCCATGTAAAAGCAGCAATGGAAAATCTGAGGCACTAAAATTAAAACTCTTTCTTACCTAAGAATCCAAGGTAGTTCAGTTCTTCAAATAAGTGTCAGATTAACAAAGGACGGCATGTTGTAATTATATATTGGTAAAGGATAATGGCACGCCTTCAGCCTCAGCCTATAAGCAATCTTTAATAAAATCAATTTTGGTAAGCAGCAAGACTTGTGCTGGATAACAACCAAGCGTGGATACAATTTGTACATCTTAGGCAAGACTATTTTCCTAAATATAGGTTTTAATTTGCTTAATGGGTTTCTAGGGTTTTTTTCCAATTAAATCTCATACAAATCTAGATAATTTGACTAGTGTAAATTTTAGAGGTTCAAATTTATAATATTTGTTATAGTATTTATAATATAAACATATAAAGTCATGGGCTGATTTATTTATATTTATATGTTTAAATATATACTTAATATACACTAAGTGATTCTATGTAGTTAAATACTTACAATATTTATTATAAAGTTAGCCATTGAGAACAGTAAGACTGTACTAATAAATAAAATATTTGAAAGTGGAGTTATAAATAATACATCTTAATCAGCTTCAGCATACAGTAAAATGTCTGCATTTTACTTTGGCTACTTGGTAAGAATACTGCTTTATTCATGTAAGAACTATAGATTATAATTTTTTTAAAGTTTGTGTTGCAATGTCCAAATAGTTTTCAATTAAATGTCCAATCTTTCAATAAAACTTGAAAAAGAGGTAATAAGATGGTTTTCTTTCAAAGTTAAAGTACCAACAATATCTAATCATAACTTACATTATTTATTACATATGTAAGATGAACAGGAAGCTTCTAAAACTTCCTCAAATGCCAAAAACTTTATACCTAATATTCTCAAATGTGGACAACTTTGTGGACTGTTATTGTCCCACAATGCCACACAGCAGAACTTCCTCAAATGCCAAAAACTTTAAACATAATAATATCAAATGTGGACAATTTTGTGGATTCTGTTATTGTGCCACAATGACATACAGCAGAGCATATACTATGCATGTGTCTGAACCTTCATTAGTGCTATTCCTAGGCACTA